GACCGGTGCATACGTCCCATCATATGTCCCCCAAGTTTGGCCGCATCCCTTGACCACCCAGCGCGCTTTGAACCGGTTTGGCTGCCCGTGCTCATCTCGTTTCACCCGTAGAACGACTCCTTCCGACAGCACTGGTGTTCCTTTTGGTACGTCCGCTCTGTCCACCACTTCGTATGCATCCAGGTCATCGAACTTGGCCAATTCTGCATCCACAGCGGCTTGCCAAAGAGGTGCGTACGGGTCCTTGGTCATTTCGTGAAGTGTTTTTGGTTCTTTGTATGTTAGCTCCACCATGGGGACGTCGGTTGCTGCACATCCCAGTACGTTCTGCTGCTGCACGTTGGGAAATCGTGTGAATGTTTGTCCTGCCTGCCGCCTCCCAAACAGTACGTCCAGTCCTGTCATTTTGTCCATCCCTTGTCCTTCTCCTCCAAGTACTCTCACTGTTGGGTTGAAGTGAACCCGCCTTGGTGGCACGTCAGGAGCAGCCAGCGGGATCCCATCGGGTGGGTAGGCATAGTTGTATAGATGACCTGCGTCATTTTCTGGTTCGTTGTTGTCTGCACCTTCACAAACAGAGATGCCTGCCGCTGGTAAGTCACTTTCCCCTGTCTCTTCTCCTATATCAGCTTCAGTAGCTGCTGGTGGGTCTTCTTGAGCTGCGTCATTGGTCGTAGGTCCATGTTGTTCTGCTGTAGAGACGTCAGAAGATGACGTGGAGGAAGTGAGAGATGCGGGAAAAGAGTCGAATGCTGACCCAACGTCCTCTCCCCCTGAGGTCCATTCCGAGATATGAGGTGAGACTTCATCGATGTACCGTTGGCGTTCGAGCAGAGACTCGGCGTCCGGGAGCATGAGGTCGTCAAAGAAGCGAGCTGAGCGTGTGTCCGTGTCAACGTCGCTTGCCAAGTCCCGAACGATCCATGCTTTTCGTGAGTTAGAGAGGCCGAGAAACATGCCTGCCCGTCCTCGTTGTTCAAATTTCCCAAAGCTGCCTTGGGGAGGGAGATAGTAGCAGAGGCATCCGAAGGTTCTGGCCATGGAGACATCTGCTGCCTTTCCCATTATCATGAAGTATGGTGAGTGTGCGGATGGGTTGCTGCTGCAGCTGATGCGGTTGTGTAACCATGCCGCATATTCCAGTGCATAAGGCCAGAACTTGGAGGAAAGGCTGGCCCCGGTAGTCATTGCTCGCACTCGGTCCATGAGTGTGCGGTTAACCCGTTCGGCGACTCCATTCTGCTGTGGCGTATGTGGTAAAGACGTTTGGTGATTGATACCGTGAGAACTCAGGTAATCCGTGAATGCGTTTGATGTATACTCCCCCCCGTTGTCCGTGCGCAAGGCAGCCAGCGGCATCTTGGGCAGCTTGGTCTTCATCTCACGGTGCCAAGCCGAGAAAACTGCAGCCATGTCGGACCGGCGAGCCAACGGCGCCACCCACAGGTAGTTGGTGTAGTCGTCCTTGAGCGTCAGCACATAGCGAAGGGAAGGGTGAGCATCACCCAGGTCCATGATGTCGCTGTGCACGAGCTCCAAAGGTCGAGTTGTGGTATTGGTGCTTCCTGTGGGAAAGGGGTTCTTGCTCATCTTCCCTCGAAGACATGAATCACATGGGGGTTTGAGAGGGTTAGTCTTGTCGGATATGGTGAGTCCTTCAACATCACCATTTCGAAATGTTGCATCCATGGATGTGTATGATGGGTGACCCAAGCGCTTGTGGGCCATGCGATATGTGATGGATGCATGAGCAGATTGCACATTCGGCCCTCCAAGGTCAGTCTCATTCAATGCTTCATTCGGATGATCATGACCAGATGCATGGGCGGATGCAAGTGCAGGCTCATATTGCACCATTAGCACCCCATGCATGACCATTCCAACTCCAATGAGTACATGCTCATCCCCATCCGCCATTGTGATATCCGTGCGCCCATCCTCACGTGTGTGAATGCGAGCTCCCTTCTTGTACAGCTGGCAATAGGAGAGCAGGTTGGACTTCAAGCCGGGTACGTAGAGTACGTCCGTGTAGCGCACCGTTGTTCCATTGGGTGCCGTTGCTCGGATTGTTCCCGCCATCGAGCTCAACAGGTGGCTTCCGTCAGCAAGCTCCACATAAACGGGTTCGTTCAGCTCCTCTAGACCCTCAAACCACTCCTTTTCCGAAGTCATGTGTTGGTTGCATCCGCTGTCCAGCAGCCACATCGACCCTCCGGTTGACGGTGATGTTGCTTGCGACGATCGAACCGTTGCAATGCATGTCATGGTTCGTTTGTTGTCTCCCCCGCCTGCCCCTTGCTGTTTTGTCGCTTGGTTGTCACGTTTCGGACTTTCACTCCTTCGCGGCGAGGACGAGCGGCTACTCCAGGTGCGCTGGTTGGTTCTCCCTCTGTTTTGTGGTTCCCAACCTGGTGGTGACCAACCCGGAGGCGCCTTCGGACACTTGTAGAACGGGTGGCCAGATTCCTTGCAGTACCAACACACAAGGTTAGACCGTCCTCCCGCTGACCTTGCCGCATTCCGGTTGTCCTTTGTCTCGGTTCTCTCTTTCGCTGGTGAATTATCTCCACGTGCTTGGCCAGCCATGCGGGGAGGACGCTTGTCACGGTTGGTCTTGCTAATGAGGTCTTGGTAGCGTTGTTCCTGAATCATCATTCGTTGCAGTGCGTAGCTGTCCGAGATGTCGTGTAGCATTGCCGAATGCCTCAACTCCTCCCAATGCGGTGGCAGCCCGGTGATCAAATTTAAGGTGAATGAATCTTCATCCACCATTTTTCCCGCCATTGCCAGCTTATCCCGAATTGCAGTTGCTCGGTTGATGTAGTCCTCCACTCTTTCTTGGCTCCCCATCTTCAGGTTGTCCAATTGCCTCTGGAGAGACGCCTTTGCCACCGAATCCTTCGCCTGGTAAGTCTCCATCAGGTACTCCCATGCTTCGAATGCCGGACTGTATGACTCTTGGAACACGTCAAGTTGCAGCTGAATCGTTGCGCTTACGCTATGCAGAAGCACCCAAAAAGCCAGCGTAGCACGTTGTGAGTAATCTGCTTGTAGAACTTCCAGCCGTTCCATTGCATCTCGCATTTCTCCTTGCACCATTGTAACCGGGTATTGTAGCGTCACGAAGAACTCCCACAGGTTTGTCACGCGCGCGTTCATGCGAAACCGAAGAGCCCACTCTCGAAAGTTAGTGCCGTCGAATGGAGTTGTTGTGAACGCTTTGTCCACTGCTGCTCCCACCATTTTGCGTGACAACCTGTCCTTGTCTTCTTCCGTGTACTCGCGTGGAGACGGGTCGAAGAGCGTAGGCACGTTAGATGGTCGAGGTAGTTGTACCGTGCGTTGTGTGCCTTCACGTTCCACCACTTCCACTTGATCACGTCGCATAACACCACTTGACTGCATCCCGTGCCCCATGCGCCCCATGCTTCCTGCAGGTGCAGCTTCCATTTGAAACTGTGGCGCACGAGGAGGTACGACGTTGTTGCCAAAGAGGTGAGATCTGCCCATCACGGGAACTCCAATGGGATGGGAGTTAGTAGCGAGACGTCGCAGTGGGGGAGCACCAATAGTGTAGGATTCGAATCCCACACCTTCCATGCCCACATGACTGCTTCGACCACTCCCTTCCCCAATCTGCCCTCTCATGTTTCTTCCCACGCCGATCCCATCACCATGCTCCATCACATTTGTTCCACTTCCGTACGCATCGTCCCTCCCCGTTGCTGCCCTTTGCATGGTTGATTGAGGTTCGGGGTGGGAGCTCCCCTCTCCTTGGAAGGATGCATCCCTCCCTTGGGATGACTCTCCTCCTTGGGGTAAGCTTCCCTCTCCTTCACCTTCAATCCCTGCATCCATATTTGAAGTACGGGTTTGGTTAGTACGCGGAGTGCTTGCATGTGACTGTTCACGGATGGATGGGTTGCTGAAATCTCGAACTTGGGCTGGCATGTTGAACTTTGCTCTTAATGACGCTTGGAGTGTTGGTGGTGCCCTTGCAATCATGTTCTCCAGGTGCTCATGTTGAGCCATGATGGCTTCTTCAAACGCCTCGTATCCAGCATCGACTTCATCGTCGAATCGCGCCATGCCTCCAATCCAAATGTTGTCACTTGCTGTGCGAGTTTGCTAATGTCCCTGTCCAATGTGAATGCTGACAAGGTTCTAACCAAATTTCGGCAGCATGCCCCCTAGAGTAGCTCTGATACCATGCTAGAAAGGCATAGTGCCGGCGTTGCGGAAGCTTGATTGTAGAATAAGTAACAAGAGGAACTTGCAACTGAAATGATTCAGAACAATAGGATGATTATGAAATGACAGAGCAGGGTATTTATCTTGACCAGCTAACCCCTTCAGGATGGTTCTATCCACACCAACAACGCCACACCAATAATTCTACCCGCCAATAATTCTTACCCTCCAATAATTCTAGACTCCAGTAATTCTGACCCTCCAATAATTGTACAATTATTGGAGGGCTGAGAGTCTTATAAAGGAACACTACAGTAAAACCTAACAGCATTAGTATCATCTTATGTTTGTATATTTAACATGACTGATCCTCTATTGGCCTGTTGTGCTGTCATGCTCACGAGCTAAGTATGCATTTGGTGTGATGCATGTGCTACGGTAGTACACAAACAATAAACCACCCTCTGCACTGCATGCACTGGAATCACGCAAGAGCACAGGTCATGATGATTCCACACAAGGTCAAGCACAAACAATCCAATGCCTTTTGATTGCAGAAGCATGAGAAACAAACAATATCAACGGGCTGCACCTCAGCTGGCACAAACGCACACTCGGTAGGTAGGAGTGCCACTGGACTGGAAAGACAGCTGCAGTGATACTTGCCAGCACCGACCTCACAGGCAGCCACACCGCGGCAACCTTGCAATGACACACACAAGCCGAATTGTACAACAAAACTATCTGCCAAAAACACGGCACCAATCACTCCGTTCTTTTGCAGGTGGGGTCGGCAAATGGCGGAGCTGCTACTCATCCCAGTCACCGTTGAAATCATCGCCCCCATCATCACCGCCATCCTCAGCGCCCTCAAGCTCCCCAAACACATCCTCCGATGCCCTCTCTTCCACCACCACCCTCCGCCACCTCCCTTCTCCCACTGCCAGCTGCTCCTTCCCCCCCCTTCTCACACCACCTGCTCCCTGCCGCCCTTCCCCATCATGCTCTCCACTGCCTCTTCCACCGTGAGCCACTGCTTGCCAGGGTTGCTCTCCACCTGCTTGCTCCACCCCACATGCACTGCCTTCTGCTGCCTCTCTGCTCCCCACTACGCCCATCTGCCCTTGTGAGTTTTCCGATGCTCCTCCTCCATCGCCTGCACCTTCTTTCCCAGACTCCCTCCCACTTGCACTTCCTGGCCCTTTTAATTGCTCCTCTCGCCCTACCGCCTGTTGCTTTCCTGCCCCAGCAGCAGCAGCACCAGCAGCAGGTTGCGGGTGCGCGAAGGAGAAGAGGCGGACAGCGAAGGCAAAGGCACGGTCGAACAGGAAGGGGCGAGCAGCCTCTGCTAGCACAGACAGGCGGGCCACCACAGGGGGACGGGGAGTGCCAGTGAGTGGGGGGCGAGCAATGAGGGGTGGGCGGGCAGTGACAAGTGGCTGCACGGCGGATCTGGGGGGCCACACGGTCCTCATGGTGCTGATGGGAGGGTGCCTTGACGCCTGATGACCTGACACCCTGCCACTCCTCGCACATGTTGCTGTTGGTGTGGCACGTGCCGAGGTGGCAGGGAGCGGTGCTGGTGGGGGCTGGGTGGCGGGCGGGTGGAGGAAGACTGCGAGCAGATGATCCACCACCATGCCCACGTCCTGCTCCTGCATGCATGCACATGCACATGCACGCACACATGCAAGAATGCCCCACATGCAAACATACACACATGCATGCGAACATGGATGCACTGCACACACACGTTGGTTGGTGAATGGAGGGAAGGTGGTACTTGAGCAAGGATGGCACGAGTGCATGCCAAGCCTTTCCCCAACTGTGCTGGCAAGCACACTGACGAGCATCCCCTCCCACTCATCCATCCCACCACACGGAAACCACCCTCGCACACACACACAAGCGCAAGAACGCTCACTGACCTTCATGAGCGCCTGCAACTCCACAGTCATCCACGCGCGCACCACACTCTCCGTCGGCGCACTCTCCGCCACTCGGTGCCGCCCCCGCTGCTGCCACCCGCCCTTGCCCGCTCCGCCTGCCCTCCCTCTCGTGCTCTCTGCACCCTGAGCTGCACACAGGGGTGACGGAGATGGTGCAGGCGATGGCAGCGCTGGTGCCACTGCCATAGGCGAGCTGGTGTAAAGGCGCCTCCGCTTGCAATGCTCCCCAGAGGGCACAAACGCGCTGGAGGAGTGATAGAAAAAGGGGGGAGGGGTAGGGAGTGATGGAAGATAAGTAGGAGCAAACCAGAGGGGAATCATGTGGAGGGTGGGAAATCCACGGAGAGGTTACCAAAATAAGAGCGAGCGGACGAGATCAACGCCTCTGAGTAACCCCTTAGAGCGTTCCCCACACATCCCCCCCCTCCCCCCCCCCCCCCCCCCCCCCCAAAAAAAAAAAAAAAAAAAAAAAAGAGGAAAAAAACCACAAGGGAGGAAACAGCCGCACCTGAAATGATGTGCACGGTTATACTCTCATACCTGATGATCCTACCCCCGCTGCTTCCATGCCTGCCCTCAGCATGGCTCCCCGCAGCTGCCTCAGCCGCAGGTTCGAAGGCCCCTTGTTGTGCAGAATCGAAGGGCAGGATGGGTAGCTGGTCGAAGTCAGCAGCGGCGAGGTTGACGTGATGGATGATGGAGAGCGGCGCGGCCTGGAGGAAGATGCGCGCAGGGTAAGGGAGGGAAGGGTGCAGCAGCAGTGGCGTGATTGATACTACAAGCAGACCCAGCAACGGAGGAGGCCATTTCAGCGAGAGAGACAATTTGAACCTCTCCCGCCTCGTCAGCCAATGAGGGCCCCCCCCTCGCCTTCACTTACCGCCATCCAGTCTCCACATACGCGAGAATCAATCCCACAGGGATTGATCCACACTTGACCAAGGTACCTCATGCTACCTCGCTCTGCCTACCTTGCAAACGGGGCACACAGCTCGTCTCCTGGGTTGCTGTTGACTGCTGACATCAGCATGCGAAGATGTGCCTCGTCCAGCTTCAGCAGCTGCAACGTCAGCATCTGCTGGAAACTGAACCGCCGACTCGAGCCCCGGTGACGTGGCAACATGAGCATCGGTGAGCGCAACATCGGACGATTGTTGCTGCTGCTGGTGCTGATGGCGTGAGTGCGGAGGGATGATGGGGCAGCGGGTGCAGGACTCGAGCCATCGCACGATGCAGGCGAAGCAGAAGCTGTCTGTCAGTAACCAAGGCTCGACGACGTTCGTCGACGGTTACACCATTGTAGTTCGTTGAGGGTCGAATCCCACCGCGAAAAATTCCGTCGGTTTTACCCGCGAAACGGGGAAGAAGGAAGCGAAGGGAGGAGGAGGAGGAGGAGGATGGGAAAAGGGAAAGCCAGTCAGAACTCGCACATAGGTGTCAGAACGAAATCCTTAGCAAAACAGCATCCGACAGTGGTACCTACGGAACGACTGTGCTGTTGTGTGAAGGGCTATGGCACCCACGGAAGCACGGCTCGAGGAACGCCTCGTCTTGAGGTTCGTCAAGGCAGATCGGACAGACAGACGCCGTGACGGCCATGCATGCCACGGGTGGGTTGACGATAGCAAGGTCAGGTTATGGCAGCACAAGATTCTTCAAGCTGTTCGACCCAAGCGCCTTGCGATGCGACCTAAAACTACCCATGTGGGCTGGACACGAAGTGTGTGGTACAGTGAAGTGAAGTGCGATAGTCGTCGGAAATTCGACAGCTCAGTTCAATTTGCTTGGTGGCGGAATAGAGAGTATGAAATTCCCCGACACACTGTAGGTACTGAAATACAGTGAAGTGCCAGTACACTGTGCCAACGTGTTCAGACAGGTTTGGCTTGACAGGGCCCCACCCCACATGGACTGACGACGGTTTGACGAATTTGGGGGACATTGTAACGATGTGTCTCACGCACTGGTTTCATCGCTAGAGTTGCTCCGTCGTCCCAGCGTGCCCTTCTATTCTCCTACCCACCAACGACCGCCACTCAGTCCCTGCTACAGTACTAAGTTGCCCTAGCTTCTCCTGGTGGAACTTTGCTGGTAACCCGCTGCGCCATATTTAGAGACCGCAGACTTCCAAGATTAAGTTATGGCAGAGAATAGCGGCGCTGACAGCAGCAGCGGGGGACACATTCCGCAGTATATTCCTTCCAAGCACGTTCCATTGACAGACCAGCTAGAAAAGGACAAGGTTCGTTCCAGTACTCGCATGTGCGCTCAGCATTTATTTCTCACCGTACCTTTCACCCGCTATCCTCTTCATTGCGCGATGACTGAATATCAGTGCTTCGTTTCAGGATGACGAGAGCTTACGGAGGTGGAAGGAGAGCCTACTAGGCGAGCTATCGCTCGACGACAAAGGTCGCACTGTCTTCGTATATTCCTTTTCGTGTAGCCGCTTTCCATAGCCCAATGGGATCTTATCAAGCGCAGTTGTTCTTTCCGTGCCAGGCAAGCGAGGAGGCTCGGCGGTCGAGTTTTCGGCTGTGCGGCTGCTCGTGGAGGAGCGGGACCCCATCGTGCTTCCGTTGCCTAAGGACGGCGAGGCCGTGGCGACGCCGGCGAGCTTCGAGCTGAAGGAGCGGTGCAAGTACCGGCTGCAGTTCGAGTTTACAGTCGCGAACGACGTGGTGCTGGGCCTCACGTACGTCAACACCGTGTATAAGGACGGCGATCAAGGTGAGCGCGAAGCGACAGGAGTCTTATTTGGGATTGTTCTTCCGTTTGGCATTGATTCGGAGTGGCCAAAGACTGGATTGATCTGGCCACATGGAATGAAGTGGAGCATTCAGGCTGATTACGACTTGGTGTGTTGGTCAGGGGGGCACGAAGCAGTGGCCTACTTCATCAGGAAATGCGTTCTCTCTCTCTCTCTCTCTCTCTCTCTCTCTCTCTCTTGCTCTCTCTGAGTGTTGGAAGGGTTAAAATGCTGGAAATCCATCAGAGAGATGTTATCGAGCTTTCACTATGCCAGCAGTTTCTGTCATCCCCCTTTGTTCTATAGCTGATTTCACTTCGTCTGTAGGTGCGTTAAGTGGTGTGAGTTTTACAAATGTGCAGGTATGCTTGCACTCTCCGTCCCCTTCTCCCTTCCCACTGTCTGTTCTTTAATTTCCTTCTTGTACCTAACGTTGTTGCAGTGGATACTTCTAAGGAGATGCTTGGAGCATATGCGCCCCAAGCGAAGCCATATGTGTATGTGACTGAAGAGGAGACAACGCCTGACGGAGAGGAGGTCCGTGGCAAATATACAGCAGAGACAAAGGTGCGAGTTTCTGTGCATGTGTCTTCTTCCTATTTTCTATATTGTATCGAAGCATGCATTGGCTATTTGTTTAACGCATTGTCAGCTTGTTCAATCGCTTACTTGCTATCTTCTTCCCTCCCATTCCGCAGTTCACTGACGACGATGGAAAAGTTCACTTGACATTTTCTTACTCTTTTGAGATTAAAGAAGACTGGTAGTCTGTTGTTGACTCATTAACGGATCACTATTTTTGGAAAATTACGGTACGGTTTTACAATAGAATTATTCCATGCTGTTTGCAGCAACCTCACTCTGATGTATATATCAGATCCCCTCGGTATGGTGGTTCATTGTAGCGTTATGTGAGAGTAAATAAAAACATACTGAAGCTGATCCTTTATTTTCCTATGTGATTTCTGTTATGAATGAACTAGCAGAGTGCGCAGTAAAACGAATAACGAGAATGACTGATTACTGAATTACTGAATTCCGATACAATGGAAGTGACGAGGCCTAAATAGGGGAAGTCCTAGCAAGGCGGGGAGGTTGGGCGAGGATGGCTCGGTGATGGATGCGATTGGTGCGGAGGCGACTCGGGGGTGGTTCGGTGCGACGAAATAGGAAGGACAGGCTCGTCGCGTGACCCTCGGGATGACCTCGCTAACGAGTGCCTCAGTAAGGATTCTGTAAATCCTTACAATTTCACTATGAAGTTGTCTGAGTAGTGCGCTTCTGTGCCCCACTCGCAATGTAATGAATGCTCACGCGTGGCTCCTTATGATTGGCGCAAGACCCTCCGATGGATTTCTTCTCCACAGCGTGGGGAGGGGATGCGTAAGAACCTACGTGGATTTCTTCTCCTTATGATTGGCGTAAGAACCTACGTGGATTTCTTCTCCCCACAGCACACTGCTGTGGGGAGGGGATGCGTACAGCGTATCGTACCTACACAGCGCACAGACGAATTCACTCGTATAGACTGAATCCAGTAGTTCACTTGTGCAGTCAATACTTCGATAGCGTCCCCGCCTCACATTAGGGCGCGTGTGGTCTTACAAATTTGTGAAAGTTTATGTTTTTAGGTCGAATGTAGCATTTGAACAAAACTCGACTTTTTTTCCAGCGAAGTTCGAATCTTGGGTCTCCAACACAGACGAGTCACAATCACACACCCAAGGTCGAACACAGAGATTCGACCTTTTAGGAATGGCGGCGAGCCGCCCGTAGGGGAGTAGGTTACCTGGTACAGCGCGACACGTTAACGTAATGCGCGACGAAACTCAACGATCTTCGCAAAGCGGTCGCGATTTTCGGATGGCCTTCGTACGTGCTGAAAACAACACACACTCGCCTCACGTGCACCCGCACGTTCACTCGTGTGATTCGAGTTGAGTTCACATTTGACATTCGAACTTATCCCCCAAAATTCTCATGCCTTCGCAAAAGCTTCCTGACGACATTAGCGAAGCTGGTAACCACACAAAGTTCGACCTTTTTCCCGAACTTGAGAATAAATCACACGCGCCCTTAGCAGCAGAATCTCCCTTCTCCTGCGTCTATTTAGCATCCAGCAGTGTTACACGCACAACGTTGCCACGCGTTTCTTTAATTGCCAGCACAGCATGACGTCCACCAGTTCCACCAGTTCTTTAAGAGCCATGACGCGAACTTTTCTAACCGATGGTGTGACGGCACAAGGCATCGCTCTGCCGCATAGATGTGCGCCTCCAGCATCCCGCACGCTGTCGCTTCTTTCATCCACCAGTAGAATAGCGCCGCACTTTCCCCGGAGTACCCGGCGTGTTTTGACGCGAGCAGACCCGAAAGGAGACGCAAGGGAGCTATGGCGCCGCGAGATTGAAGCTGATTCGGCAGCAGCAACAGATTTTGAGGCGGTAGATGCCGACACAGTAAGGGAAGAGGCGCAACGATTGACGCGTAAGCAAGTCATGGAGCGGCTCGACAAGGCGAGCTATCAGGAGCTTCGCGAGCTGCAGGAGAGCGGTTACGACTCCGATGGTGGCAGCACGCGGCCCGGGCTTGGTGGGAAGAGCGCGGAGAGCGGAGAGATTTCTTGGAAGGAGGTGGTGGATAAAATTTTGGTTGCGGACTTCTTTTTAATCACGATCGCTCTTGTCTGGTTTTTAACAGGTGTATTGCAGCGTTCTATCTCGAATGACGACGGGCTGCTGCTGGCGTGGTTGAAGCTGTGGGACCCCTTGTTCCAGCCAGCCATAGGCGTGTTCATGGGCTCTGCTGTGTTACAGGCTGTGCTTAAGAAAAGTGCTTGATTTGCCTAACCCTCTTAAAATGCGGGGGTATCTGGAGAGAGAGGAGGGGGGGCAGGATGAGAGCTGCAAGTTCTCAGATAGGTAGTACCTATCTGGCCTAAAGTCTAAATTCAGTTTATTACGATAAGGGTTTGTTGATATGGTATTGCCGTATTCTCCCGGACATAGGGTGTTATGATAAATACAGGAAAAAAATGGGGGGGGGGGGGGGGGGGGGGGGGGGGGTCTTCTCATCGGAAAAGGCTACATATGACATTTTTTAATATAAGGATTCTGAGAAATAGACAGCTTGGGTGTTTTCAAAGTGTCAAACTGTATGTGTTATACCTGATTTTTTAGCTGTGGTGAGGGGGTAGCCAATGTAGGGTACAACCCCTTAGGGTTTTCCCTTGTAACGAAACTCTCTCATGTATGGTATTAAGAGCATGTAGGGTCTTAGAACCTTAGGACGATTTTTGGGTTGCGAAGCAACCTATTACGATCGATTTGGCCAGTTTTTTCACATTTTATATTTATTTAAAATATAATATGAAAGAAAAACTGGCCAAATAATTG